TTTGAAAATTTCAGTCACGCACGTATTTATTGCATTATTTTGGGAACAAATATGTTGGATGTGACTTCTGTTTTTGGCAATTGTAATGTTGTCATAAGTTTATTGAAAAATCTATAGCTTTAGCTAATTCTGATTAAAAAAGAACTTTACTAAAATTCAATTTAAATAAATTGTCTTTTAGTTTGATAGAAATCAGCTGTTTTCGTGTTTCATAATGTTTACATTAAAGGAAACAAACGTAAACGTAACTTTAATACACTGGACCAATAAAATGGAAATTTCTTAAAGTTTTTATATTTAAATTATGACATTCATATCTGTCCATATATCAGGAAGTACTTATTGTATGTAATTTATTTGTATTACAAAATACCTATCGAATTGTTATTATTGCTAAGAATGAATAATGATTAATTTTTATTAAACAATCATTAACCATATTTCAAGTTTAGTTTCATTTGATACGATTTGTTTAAACGAATAAAATACCCACGATGAATCATTGCCGCTTTTAAACACAATTCTCTGTTTTATTTTATTAGCAAAAAATATAATTCAATTATATTCTCAGAATAGCTTATTAATATGTACAAATATTCACAGCACAGTTTTATACATTATTTTAAAGAATGAACAGAAAATTAATAAAACAAATTAATTTGATCTGCGTTGATCGTTTTGACTTTTTGCTCGTAAATAATAATAAAAAAACAACTAATTTTCACCTCATAAAAAGTTATAATTTATAATATTATGAAAGAGATTACAAATATAATGGACGCAGTATAGGAAAAGGAGGCATTTTATTACGTTTTTCTTAAATTATCTATGAAATTGTCTTATTGGCGTATTATTAATGAATAAACAGTGCGGGTTAAAGGTATAGCACATATATAGTAGGAATATTGGATTTACCATAATAAAGCCATTATTATTAAGACTATATAAATTAAATAAAGAAAATATTTTCTACACAGGTTTTTTATCCGTCATTGATTTTCCGGTGGAGACTCTTAAAAATAATTTTAGAACCAACACAAATTTAGTACAGCTTTTTATATTGTTGGACCAATACGCATTTTTTAGAAATTTGCGGTATCTTTTTATAGTTATGAAAGCCTTAAAATCCTCCAAGATCAATATAAATTAGAAAGGGAACTTGTGAACCATTTTGAAATCGTGTCATATACGATATCCACTGGTCAATAGACTGTATACAAGTAGGTGTCTTCCTGAAGAGAGGCGTGTTTTGCTTATAAACCTACGTGTATCGGGAACAAAATCCCTAATTTTAAAGGAACACATTTCCTTGAAGTATCGATAGAACAGTGAAACACGCACCTCATTGGGGCGGTGCTCCAGAGAATCAATAAAGTTGGATCCGCAAATGCCATTCCTAAGTAACTTCGACATCTCATGTACGCGGTCTAGTAGCCCCAAAATAGACTGTCAAGACTTATATTAAATTTTTCTTCCAATATACACAAGTGGTGTAAATAGTAAGAAGATCAGATGGAGTAAAATGATTCTTGCGCCGATTTAGAAAACCAAGACACTTGAATGCTTTTTTCATTTGAAAATATGTTTAGTTCAACGGACATCACTCTGTATTCTCAGTTCAAAACAATTAAAACATCAAAAGCTTGTGATTCCTTAATTAGACTTGGAGTACAATTGAATGAATAGGAATGGCAAATGTTTCTTGCAGATGACAAAAGAGTAGATAAAGTTGGAAGTATGACATAGAACGTCATTTAGAAATATATAAAATAGAACAGGAGAAAGTACAGAACACGTTGAATGAGATAACATCTATAACAACTCGTATAGAGCGATCCCGGAGTGACCGAGAGAAAGCTATTAGTTTTGAGAAACGGTCCTCTTACCACCATCAATCAAATACTTCTTAAATATCTTGAACCACCACTTTACTTTCGCCTAAATTGTCAATGGAATAACACCATTTCTGCGCAAGGAGAGCTAGTAGGTCTCTCGTAGAGTGACCGCTATGAAAGCCATACTGGCGATCGCTATGTACAATGTTGGACTTTAAATTCTTAAGAAGCTGGTAAGTAGTTTACTATACTTTTCATTACTTTGGATATTGCAGAACAAATTGTTGTTGGAATCTTATATCTTATAAGTCCTTAAAATCATAGTTTAAATTTTTTGGGACCGATATAGAGAATATTTTACCGAAAATTAAAACCTTTTAGCTCCTTCCTTAACCCTGCAAGGGGTTATCTCGATGAAAATCTCATCAGCAATCTATAGTTATATGTACAAAAGTGGTAAAAATTTTACTACAATTTGGTCACACTCTCAGAAGATCATGTAGCAACATCATAGAATTACAATAACAAGGAAGAAAAATACTGGAAAAAGGAAGACCTGCTTATATTTGTACAATAACGATGACCTAAAACTTTTCGTTCATTTAAGGCTTCTGACCTGAATACAAGCTATTAGAAAACTAAACAAAATATTATTTGTAGAGCTGAACTAAAACTGTGTTCTAAGTTCAGTTCTAGTTCAGTTCTATTTCAGTTCCATTGTAGTTCTAGTTCAGTTCTAGTTAAGTTCTAGTTCAGTTCTAGTTCAGTTCTAGTTCAGTTCTAGTTCAGTTCTAGTTCAGTTCTAGTTCAGTTCTAGTTCAGTTCTAGTTCAGTTCTAGTTAAGTTCTAGTTCAGTTCTAGTTAAAAATGTGCCATAATTACTAACATTACTGTACATGAGCGCGATCCAACATTTAAACGATTCTTATCAGTAGAACTTGCACTTGTCGAAGATCTGTATATGTGTGAACGAAATGAAGAGAATTAAAAACGAAAAAAACTCGTTTATCTTAAAACAATAATGAGCACGAGTGTCTTTACTACGCAATCTGTAAGTTACGAGAGATGTAAGAGTGTGTATTATGTGTTGTTGTAATCAATTCGTATTGTATCGTAAAGATATAAAAATATTTGTTGTATGAATGTATATTTTGGGTGTATGCGGGAAAAAGGTATTTAAAAATAAAATAATTTTAATATTAAAATGTATAAAACAATAAAAAAAAACATTCCTTCGCCGAAAAGATGAGTAGCAATGAGTAATAATGATGCCATTAAATAAAAATCTTTTTGATTTAGGGAAATGAGAAATTCTCACGGGGTATTGTTTGGAAAAAGTTGGTCAATAGTTGGTGTTAATATTTTTTGATAACAAGTAGATACTTTGCTTGTTCAGCCATTCAGGAACCCTGAGTAATTTGAAAAACAAAACGATTTTTTAAAGCCTTTTTACATTAACATCTCTCTAAAATGTAAACTTTGAATATGTAAAAATTCGACCTCTGACCTTATAGGTGAGTTGTATACGTATAATTGAGATAAAGCTGTTACACTAAATTAGAGGAAGAGGAAAGAGTGTGTACTGTTTATGGACACTGACCGGAAGTAGCTCTGTAACTGATTTGTTATGTATGTATATGGGCAGTACAGCGGAAAACTAATTTTCACATAGTGCTGTCGACGACGAATGAATGTCTTATTTATGGGAGGAATCTATAAGCATTGGGAACAAGCTTCCTAATTCATTTGTTTTAATTTTAATTTTTTTTAATTTTTTTTATTTTTTTTTTTAATTTTACTTTCATAAATTTTAGATTATTAAAGATGTAATCCCACAATCTGTTTCATTCGAAACACTTTACGGAAAAAAGGAATATATGGAAGTCTTAGATGAGTACTGACCTAAATGAACATTTTTCATTTTAGATATAAAAATACTGTATACAAGATAGTTTGCAATTTGGACTATTCGCGAGACTATTTAGTTTCTTAAGGACTTGACTTTTTGAAATGAAATTAATCAATTTGATCGCATAGTCCATCAAGTTTACACACTTCACCTCTATGATATAAACTACTGTTCGAAATACTATGGCTTAAGGTTCCATTTGGAAAAGCACTCTGAAGTACATAGAGTAATTCTTCGATAACAAACTGTATACACTTTTTGTCTGCATTAATATCGAAGGTACTATTAATACAAACTTCTAGATTTTTAGATCAGTTCCAGGTTGGCCAGACGCTTCGTAACTGGATCAATAAGGCACATCGATGTTGGGCGATATGTAGGAGAACCATAGGCTCAAAATGGAGTCTTGATCTAACAAACTGGCTTTTTAAAAGAGTTATTAGAACACTTTTAACTTACGTTTCGATAATCTGGTGGACGTCTTTGAACAAAAAGTATAACATAATACCAATACAGGGAGTTCATCCAATATGTTACTTTTACATAAGGGGGTCATGAGCACTGAGTCCAACATATCTCTGGAGACATTGCTAGATATCCTCGTTTGTAAGGCGGACCTTATGATGTAAGACGGCGTTATGATTTGAAAATATATATGACATTGATCCAGGCAAGATGAAAGCAACCATCAATCTATTTAAAACTAAATTTAACTTGATTTCGAGAAATAAACCTGCCAATTGCCTTTCAAAGTCGTGCGATGACACCTTTCGATAATATCCTATGGGGTGATGTGATATCACTAATTTATGCTGATAAACCAGCAATAGTTAACAGTTAAGAGGCCAATATTGTTCGTAATATTCGTGACATACAGCAAGCAATGCGGTGGCCATATCACAAAAATCTTTTTTAAAATGTTAATGTATTGATCTTGCGAATAAAAAATGGCTTCAAAAAGAAATTTTGGGCTAAAACCCTAAAACAATTAAAGAATTACAAAGTGGAGTTATAGTAAAAATTACGAAAATCGTTACATAAAAATATGAACAAAATGTCCGTCTGGGATTTGAACTATTTAAAAAAGTGATACATAAGCTATTTATGCATGAGACCTCTGATACCTATTTATTTATCTTTTTACTGGCAAACATCTAATTAAGTGCAGTTGGTAACCCTTTAACTAGTCTGACTAACTAACTGACTGCTAGTATGAATAAGTTTCTAAAACTGAGTTTTGTCTTGGTTTTACTTACATGAATAAATAAAATATTATAAATAAAACAAAATATTAAAGATGCTGACTGAAGGCTGGCTGGTGTTGTTATTGTTTAATGAGAATTAACTGCTCTTATATGTTGTTGGTGTTTTGTTTTGGTGAGTAAATGTTGAGAAATAACTGTTGTTGTAGTTGTAGTAGTGAAAATTCCAGGTAATATTTGTTATTTTTTTAACGTGAATAAAAACGGTGATGATTCAACATCAAAACGAACTGTTTGCAACATCATTTAAATACAAATCGAGAGAGTGTGACTTTTTGACAGACGGTGACGGTGACTGCAAATGAGACAAAATCTGATGAGTAATCAAATTCCTGAATCAAACAAAAACACTTGTTGCCATAGTTTTTTTCTTATTATTATTGTTGTAGTTGTCATACATTTGTATTGTTATTTGTTTGTTTATCGTTATTTTTTTTATATATGTATTTTGTTTGTTTGATTGTTTGTTGGTTTTTTTATTTAGTTGTTTGTTTACCTTTGGGTTAAATGAAGAGAGTGATTGAGAGTATTAGAATTTTTATTTGTTTATTTAAGGTTTTTTTAGTTTTCACTAGTTAATGATTTATTAGTTTATATTTACTATTGTTTTTGTATTTATATAATGGAAATATTTTTTTATCAATGTTTTTTCCCTTTTTCTTATAAAATTTAACATTTTAAAATAATATAAATTTTATTTTTCAAAGTTATTTAGTAGAAGAAAGTATTATTCATTGCTGTTAGATGAACTACTAATATAATTATCGTAAAATATGCGAAAAATTCGTATTAAAACTAAATAAAATAAACATAAAGCAAAAAATCGCCAACTTAAAATTTCCATAATTTATTCTAAGCACACACGTAGTTACACTGAACACAAACTGAACAACAAATATGTACTTAACAGTGGAGTGGAGCACCGAACAGAAAAAAAACTATAAAACTACAAAACAAACACTTTCAATTTGCCAAAAAACAAAAACAATAAAAAAGGCGAATACGGCGATAATTATACACAAAATTAAAACAATTTTTATTTTCGCTTTAATCAACAAAACTTTTATGTAATTCTTGTTTATTTATATTAAATAGAATATGTTTATTCACTTTATGTCATTTATATATTTTGTCAACTAAAATTTTGTATTTATTAAATAGTATTTCAAAACTGACCGATAAACACTTTTAATTTAGGGTTTGTTGTTTTTGTTTATTTTCAATATTAAAAGATAAGGTTCATTTAGTTTGTTTAAATCGTCGTACATTATACGTACAGTGGTCAAATGATCAAATTATTAGACTCGCACACACATACACATTTACACAGCTTAACGTTCACACACAATTGTTTAACTCCGATGCGATCTTGTAGGTTTGTTTTTGGTTGATTTGTTTCGTTGTCGCCGTTTGTTTGCTGTGACTCTGTTGATTGTTTATCAACGAATGCTTCAGAAAATTATTGGAGAGTTCATATGAAGCGCGTTTGTTTAATAATAATAAAAAAAATATAAAATACGACGACGACTAATGTAGTAAAACAGAAGAAAACGAAGAAATATAAAACTGATATTTTAATATGAGCGGGCGATTTACCATGATATTTAACTTCGCGCCTAATAAATAAACGTGCACTCCATCCGTCGTCCGCTCCTCTTTCGTCTGTATAGCAAATCAAGTTAAAAACTTCGTTCCGTCAGTTTCAAATGCGTGTTTGTTGTGAGTTTTGTTTTATAAAGTTGTTGTTGTTGGTGCTGTATTTTAACTTTGTTTTCTTACTCATTTATAAATCGAAATGATCTGTGGTGTGCGCGAGTTCTGTCATCACTCATAATCAGTTTCTAAATAAAAGTCATGGTTAGTTGGAATTGGTTCGACAAAGCTGCTGTAAAAAGTCGTTGTAAATGTTTTATATCCCGTATTTAACGAGATCATTCCCCTTTTCCTAATCCTATCTACTATTCAACTAAATGAAAACTCCTGCTTTATATCCAAAACATATTTTTTCCATTACATTCGTCAATTTAACTTCCTCTACCTCCCTTCTCTTTACAGAATACACGTTCGCTGTTAGCCCAAGTTTCGGAAAAATACATCTCGTGTGCAATCAGTATTGCTGTGCGCTCCTTTTCATAGAAAACTTGTTGGTAAAATAACGTATATAGCGATATATGAAGGGAATAATTGCCCAATCTTCAGAATCTCCGTTTACAGGACGTAGTTCCTTAGAATTTTCCAATCAGTTCCTTAAAATTGTAATATTTGGAATAACAGCGCTTCCAAGTCATTTGGAGCTAATTTCGGTGGAATGACTGGGTAAATGTTTCCGTTTAATTCAGCCTAAACTGCGTCAAACGTAAACTGTGCATTCATCAGTTTAACTTCTTCTAGCTCCCTTCTCTTTACAGCAACTACATTTGCTATTTAATTACCAATTATACTCGAGTTCCCGAAAAGTAAACCTTGACCGCAATCGTTCCTGTTATGCGCTTATTTTCAAGAAAAACACTTACATAGCGATGTACGAAAGGGATTATTGATCCATCTTTTGAAACTCAGTTTCCTGGACGTAATTCCCTAGATATTTCCAATCAGTGTTGTAATATTTGGAATAATATTGCTTCCAAGTCATTTGGATCTAATTTCGATGAAAGTCTGGCGGAGAAATTGTTCCAGTATTTCACTTTTTAAGTCACCCTGGTTTCGTCAAACGTTTTTTGCATTATCTTTATAGCAAATACTTTCGCTGCTTCATAAACAATTATATTCCGAGTAGCCTGGTACCGATATGATGTAGAGCTTATCTCTGGAAAAGTATTATGTTATTGCCCTCTTACAGTACAGTACGGCCTTAGATTTAAGTTCATCATCTGATTCCGCGCAAATTGCAAACTGGATGTCGGAAAATATGTTAACTTCTGTTAGATCCATATTCAATCCAATAAATTGTACAAATTTCATGTTATCATGAAGGTGTACAGTTTTTCGGATTTTCAATGTAGATCCCCAGATTAGTTTTGTCTCTGTTGCTCTGTTGTTTTGTTGCTCTAATATTTTGCTTCTATCTGGGAGCCAATTTTACTTATTTCGTGAAGCTAGCAAACTATATTAATATACGTTGGAATGTTATGTTATGTCTCCCAGTTTAGAATCTGATTGCGCAGACAGCAATATGAAATTAAATTTTTAATTCCACTTTTATAATTGCTAAACACACATCGCTTTGTAGTTGCAATTGTGTTCTAATTCGAATTGAAATCATTGTTATCATTATCATCGTTGTTGTTAAACGCAATACTCGTTCATACATTTAATTAAAAGTATTTGTTTAGTTTACACTCCCATTCGTACCGTAAACTCAATTGTTGTGTTCTGAGTAGTTTATTTCTGTGTTGTTATTGTTTTGTTGGTAAAATCATATTACTAATGCAACCATCCAACCAACCAACTAATAAACCATCCACAGTCACAGTTGTTGCTGCTGCTGGCTTTTTGTATTTATTTTTATATCAATAAAAAAATAATAACAAAGCATGATCAAAATCAAACGCACACATTCACACACTATTAAGACAATAAAGAGTGAAACAATTAAAATATCTCCCCTCTATAGATCTCAATACTATTTAACCGGCGATTTGGCTGAAAACCAGCATAATTTTTTAAAAATCTCTCTATTACTCATTTTGGTGGACATAATGAAAATAAAAGTTTCAAATACTAGTATTTCTGGGTTCTTTTACATTATTTTCTCATTTCTCTCAATTTCGATCGAGACTGGTGGTAGATATGACAATTTCATTTTTAGTTTGTTTTTGTTTTCAATAAGAAATTGTTATTGAAAAATGATCATTAATCACAACTAGTAACAATTATTTTACAAATTTTTTTCATAACCAACTAACAATAGGATTGAAAAGTAATACAGTAGTGACCCTTATTTAAGATTTTAAAAGTAAAAAATGATTTCTTTTATTCTAAAAATAATTTGTTTATTATTTCAGTGCTGCTGTTTTTCTAACAAATAAAGATTGATTTTTTAAATTCCCTAACATTAAATTTTTTCTCTATTGAAGCCCTTTCAAGTTGATATTTTGTCAGGATTTTGAACCATTTTTACATATAAAAACTTTTTATACTTATTACAGTTTTTAGGAGTGCATGCATATGGATTTAATCAAATTCTGAGAATTGTAGCAGTAGTCTATTATTAGTTTAACTTTTTTTATACTTAAAACTCAGAGCAATTGCTGCACGGATTAACTAACCATTTAGGATAAATAGAGGCAATCTGATATTATTAGCTTAATACATTAAATTAACTCTATTCTGTAAAAGATGAATAGCATTAACATTTCGAAAATCATATCTATCTATCTATCTATCTATCTATCTATCTATCTATCTATCTATCTATCTATCTATCTATCTATCTATCTATCTATCTATCTATCTATCTATCTATCTATCTATCTATCTATCTATCTATCTATCTATCTATCTATCTATCTATCTATCTATCTATCTATCTATCTATCTATCTATCTATCTATCTATCTATCTATCTATCTATCTATCTATCTATCTATCTATCTATCTATCTATCTATCTATTAGGGATGCCAAACGGGACTGGCTTTTACAAATCCCGGGATTCGGGATTTTGAAAATTGCAATCCCGGGATCCCGGGATATTTCGGGATCCCGGGATTTTTCGGGATCCCGGGATTTTTCGGGATTTCGGGATTTTACGGGATTTCGGGATTACATAAATTTAATTATTTTATACATGAAAATCTGAAATCTTCATGTTTGTGAAGAAAATTGTTTAATCTTGTGAAAATTAATCGACAGAAGATAAATTATTTATTTTTCATAAAAAATTTGTTGAATTTTACCTTAATTCCGATGTATTTAAGCAATTTATTGATGAAAAACTAAATTTCTAAAAGAGGCTTTATATGGGAGCTAGGGTCAAATATGGGCCGATCCTCAAACATTTGGGAAGAGGCATGTAATTTTATATAAAGGTTAGTTATGCTGAATGTCATCGCGATACTAATGGTTATAAGTAAATTTTTGGACGTTTAAGATATTTTTTAATGGGGGCTAATGTCAAACGACGACTCAGAAAGCGATTCTGATTCGATCGATATACTTTAAGGTGGGTGTAGGACCAATAGGTTATAATAAATATAACGTTCAATCCTTCGAATATCAGGTTAGATCATAAATGAACCTTTTCTTTGAAACATGTTATCTACATTCAGAACAATTTAATTTACCTTTACTGTTATCACTCAGATTTATAGAAAGCATTCCAGCAAAATTAAAACGAAGTACTTCCAAAAGTATACCATTTATCACCACTTTAAAAGTAGCACTAAGTGAATTTTTTAACCTTCTGAGGAAGTGATGTTTAAAGACTTCCGAAGATTGGAAAATAATTATATTTTTTCAAAGCTGAAGATATTTTTTTGTTCTTACATTCTTGGGAGATAAAACATTTTACTTTTCGGCTTCTGTTTTATTATATGTATCTATTACCCTTTATAGTTTTAAAATTATTTAAGGCAAATTAGTTGTATTCTATAATAATACAATTTCACTTTCGAATAACTTGCAAAAAATTATCATAAAAATTACTTCTTGAGAATGACTTCAGAAGTAGTAAATTTGGAATCAAATAAAAAGGACATCCCTCCTATGACAAGCCTGTGTTAAAATCATCACTTCTTCAGTTATTTTTCAGTACTTCCATGGAGTAAATTCTACTTCTTTTTCGCTTCTTTGGAAGTTCTTTTTTTTTGCTGGGTTGTAAAGCAAAACATTCTAGATATCATTTAAAAATTTATTTTATATTTGACTGTGCCGAAATAAAATAAATAAATA